CCCCCCCCCCCCCAACGCGCGAAAACCCGGTTCGCGGACCCCGTTAATTCGCGTCCAACGCGCATTTTAACGGGAGTTTAACGTGAATTTAACGCGTGTTAAATTATTTAACGCGTGTTAAATTATTTAACGCGGAGCCTGCGTTAAATCCAGTTTCGGACACACAGTCTACCGCATGAGCGAGGAAGAGTTGAGTGTGCTACGGGCACAACTCGACGACCTTCTTGAGAAAGGCTGAATTCGGCCTAGCTCTTCGCCATACAATGCTCCCGTTCTCTTCGTCCGGAAGAAGAACAAGGATTTGCAGTTGTGCATCGATTATCGCAAGCTCAATGCGCAAACCGTCAAGAACGTCGGCCCTCTTCCGCGCATCGACGACCTCCTCGAACGGCTGGGCGGCGCCAAGTTCTTCTCCAAGCTTGACCTCCGATCGGGATATCACCAACTCGAGATCCGGCAGGAGGACCGCTACAAGACCGCGTTTAAGATGCGATATGGGCACTTCGAATGCCTGGTTATGCCTTTTGGCCTTACGAATGCCCCGACCACATTCCAAGCGGCTATGACAATGGAGTTCCAACACATGCTGGATAGATTCGTACTCATCTACCTCGACGGCATCTTGGTGTACAGTCGGAGTTTGGACGAGCATGTGGAGCACCTGCGCACCGTTTTGGAGCGGCTACGAGAAGCCAAGTAAACCGTGTCAAATGAGAATTCGCGCGGCAAGAGCTGGAGTATTTGAGACATTATGTGATGCCGCAAGGCATCCGTCCGCTTGCGGACAAGATCGAGGCCATCCGCGTATGGCCCGAGCCCACCAACACCATTGATGTTCGCTCATGCATGGGGTTGGCGGGCTACTATCAACGCTTCATCACCGGGTACTCAAGGATTGCCGCACCTATGACGAGATTACAATCGCCAAAGGTGCCATTTGTATTCGATGATGACGCACGCTGGTCATTCCAAGCACTCAAGACGGCCATGCTCATGGCACCCGTCCTTAGCATCTATGACCCCACCTTGCCAACGAGAGTGACAACTGATGCTTCCGGCTATGGCATTGGGGCAGTCTTGGAACAACATGACGGCGACGACTGGCACCCCGTGGAGTATTTCAGCCATAAAGTGCCTCCCATGAATTCACTTGATGATGCAAGGAAGAAGGAGCTGCTCGCATTCGTCATGGCTCTCAAGCGATGGCGACACTTCCTCCTTGGGCGTCGTAGGTTCACATGGGTTACGGATAACAATCCACTGACCTACTACAAGACCCAGGATACGGTGAGCAGCACGATCGGACGATGGATGTACTTCATCGACCAATTTGACTTCACACCGAAACATCTTCCCGGCCTCTCAAATCGCGCAGCAGATGCACTCTCGCGAAGACCTGATCTTTGCGCTATGACACATCATACCTTCGCGTTCGACGAGGAACTCCAGCGACACTTTATCCGGGGATATGAGTCCGATCCGGATTTTGCCACGTTGTATGCGCAGCTATCTTTGGATCACCCGCCGGCCAGCCACTATCTGTCGACGGGTACTTACTCCTCCACTCGCGAGGCAAGGACTTATTATGTGTCCCACGAGACCGTCGTCTTCGGACTCGCCTTCTCGGCGAGTACCATAACTCGCGACTCGCCGGCCATTTCGGAGTCAATCGCACTATTGCATGACTTCGGCAACGATTCCGATGGCCCGACCTCATTACCGATGTCACTCGGTATTGCGACTCTTGCGAAGTTTGCCGACGAAGCGAGCCCCGCAACCACAATCCCTACAGCGAGTTGCGCCCGATGCCTATCCCAGGGGAACCCGACCTCTCCATTGGCATGGACGTCACCCAGAGGTTGACATTGGGTGGCCGTGACCCGACCCGACCGTTCCCAGCCGTACTCGACAACTCTGGACTGGTGCGGGTACGACATGATTAGTATGCACCGGGGCAGTTGGGTTTGGAAATCTGAGGGGGGGATATGGCCGGGGCAGGAAACTGTAGGGTGGGTGGGGCTGGGTGTTGACACAGTCCCTGGACGGTTACAGTCGGGCAAAGGTTTGCCCTGGTTCCAGGTGCGGCTGGGTAGAGGTTTCGTGGGGGTGACCCGAGGCCTGTAGGCATACTAGGCATATTAGGCAAGCCTAGGTAGTATTAGGGCCAGGCCTGACCCTTTTTCTTCACTGGGAAACAATGGTACTGGTGGGGCGTGCCCTTGGTATAAATTTGTCTCTGGCCGTCTGTCATTCGTCTTAGGGTCGAGGTAGTACTAGGCCCAAACCGTACTGATAATTTGACCTAGCCCAAATCGTTTCAGCCTAGGGAATACAACATTCACTAATAAGCTTGGGCCATAATTGCGGTCAGATCCATCAAAATCTGGTTGTAGTTGCGGCCAAATGTAGACAAGAAAGTATCAATGATTGACAACACCAAAATTCGACGCGGAAATCTGTGAATGGAAGCTAAAGAATCCGACATGCAAAAACCTAAGTTTGAAATAAAGATAAAAGGGAAAACTAAGCCTGGGTGGAAAAATTTGGGCACAGGTACGGCTGGGCACGGGTGGATAGATACTGGGTTCTGGTGCGGCTGGATGCGGGTGATCGAAAATTTGGCCTGGGTGTGGCTGGGTATGGCTAGACAATTTTTAAATCAGCTTGGGTGGGCTGGGTACGGGTAGAAAAAGAAAAAAATTAGCGTGGGTGGGCTGGGTCTGGGTAAAAAAAATCGTGTTTACATGGGTCCAGCTACATATGATACATCAAGGCTTGGGGTGGGTCGGATATGGGTAGGAAAAAAAATGGTTTTGCGACCTCTGACGTCACCGGACCGTTTCCCTGCGACGACCTCGGGCACGACGGCATCCTCACGGTCGTTGACCGTTCGAGTAAGTACGTGCGGTTTCTCCCTTGCAAGTACTACGCCACGCCTCCCGAACTTGCGTGCCTCTTGCACACCGGCTGGATTTGCAGCCACGGCGTACCGGAAGACATCGTTAGCGACCGCGACACTCGCTTCATGTCGGCATTTTAGACTTCTCTCGTGCAGGAATCCGCCACGAAGATGAAACCAAGTTCGGCTCGGCATCCACAAACGGACGGGCAAACGGAGTGGGCACATCAAACCGCTCAGATGATGCTTTGTACGCTCATCCGTCCGGATCAGAAAGATTGGGTTGACCGCCTCCCCGGCATCGAGTTCGCCTACAACACTTCGTTGCATCCGGCGATCGGCGTGACTCCATTCGAGTTGCACCACGGTGGCCGGAAAGGCCGTATCTTCGCTGATCTTCTCCTCCCACGAACAGCCGACATAGACGCTGCTTGCTCCCTCGCTTCCGTTCGGAAGTACAGGGAATTGTTGGCTCAAGCCAGCGTGAACATGCAAAAGGCTCAAGTTCGCATGCAACAGCAAGCCAACAGGCGTCGCGTGCCATGTCCCATCCGCGCCGGTGATCTGGTTTGGGTCTCCGCAGAAGAGTTTGCACTCGAGTAGGATGTTTCGCGCAAACTACTCCCCAAGTGGTTTGGACCATGGCCCGTAACATCAGCCGCGGGTGATGAGCCCGATATCCCCTCATTTGTGATCAACATCCCCCTGCATCTGACAGGCCATCCAGTCTTTCACGCCTCGAAGTTGGCGACATATACACCAGCTAAGAGCGACGACTTCCCGGGCCGACGATCGCAAGATCCTCCATCTATGGATGGTCATCAGGAAGTTGACCGCGTCATCACGGATCGCAAGTACTGCAGCAAGCCTCGACAATACAAAGTTACATTCAAAGCGTGCGATCCCGACAACACTCGATGGATTTCAGGAGCAGATTTGAAAGCATCCGCACCGCTGATCTACGCTCACTACGAGTGACAAAGGTTAGCGCAGGGAACTTCACGACCTGCCCCTCCCACCCGGACTGTGGTCCCTCCATCAGACATACAGCTTCGCCCTCACAGGTAAGCTCGGTCTTTCAAGGAGGGGGGTGTGTGGCATGCTGCGCAGCCACACGGGCCTGCAGGGCCCGACCAGCATTTTCAGCCTAAAAGCCTGAAAACAAGGGCTTACAGGCCCTGTGTCGTTTCAGCCTGAAAGCCTGAAAGCGAGGGCCTTCAGGCCCTATGTCGATTCAGCCTAAAACAGGGCCTTCCAGGCCCTGAGTCTTTTCAGCGTGAAACGGAGGGCCATTTTCAGGCCCTCGTAAGATCGACCTGCCCTGAAACTCAGGCACCAGACCAGGGTTTTAGCACAGGCCATTTTTGGCCTGTTTTCAAGACAACCCTTGGTTGAACTTCAACGCCACGGTCTGGCACGTTTTGGCATTGGCAAGAGCAGCCTCCTGGACGGGCCAACACTATGTAAGACTGGCCCGCCCTACAGGCTGCAGACAGTCACGAGGTAGTTCATAGGAACTTCCCAGGCACTTCACGTGCAGGAGGCAGGAGGCAGTCTTCAGGATTCGGCAGCAGCACTCTGGAGGAGAGCTGCAGTAGTAGTAGTAGCGTTAGCAGTAGTCTTCGGCGTTGGGCGCTATTAGGAGCTAGAGTACCGTTGGAGAGAGGGAGATGGTTGGCGGAGGCCAGGGAGACTTACCTGTGGTGCCATAGCTCCAGCTTCGTCTTCGAGGTACCTGCAACAAGGCGCCACCTTCACAGGTTAGTACCGGACTGAGAGAGAGAGAGAGAGAGAGAGAGAGAGAGAGAGAGAGAGAG